GATGTGAGTATCAGTCACATGGAGGCAGTGCATAAAAGCCTGAATTTTGCCTGAAACTCTCAGACTGAAGAAGTCTCTTGGAGGAGAGACGAAACGTTTTATTAGAGAAGAACCCGTCCAGAAGACCTATACAATTTTTTTCTTTTTAATTCTCTGTATGTTTTGCACATATTGACAACTGAACTACTTGAATCTTGAAGAATCGGCCAAAACAAATCAGCTGCACATATCGGCGTATCGATTAGACCAGGGGTCTGCAATCTGCGGCTCTGGGGCCACATGTGGCTCTTTGGTCCCTCTGCTGTGGCTTTTTGAAAATGGGGCCAAACATAACAGAATATTTTCTTTTGGTTTTTATACCCACAACAGAAATCAATTTGTATGCAAATGTGATCAATACTAATAAAAACAAGGAGCACAAATGGCTCATTTGATCGTAAAGGTTGCAGACCCCTGATTTAGACTGATGTCAAAATAATCTCATATGGGCCTTCAAAAACCTGTATCGGTCGATCTCTACTCTAAAGTAAAGAACTTTAGTGTTATTTTTGATTAAGATATGTCTTTTAACCCCCACATTAAAAAATAGTTCCTAATTTTAGTAAAAAACAGAAACTAAATTACTAAAACTAGAAATTTTTCTGTGTCTCTTTTTTTGGTCTTTTCAAATCCAGAGGCAGATTATTTTGTTAGAATAAACTGACTGCAGAGATGGATTTAAAATCTGGATTCTTGTTTTGTGTGAAGCTTTGAGATGACTTGTGAATTGGTACTATGTATGAATAAAGTGAAGTGAATTTAAAATTAAGTTTATTACACAAACCTGCCTGCTGGGCTCGATTTAATGTGTGTCCTGACTCTCGTAGCTGACAGAGGTTGTGTATTCCCTCTCTGATCCATCGGGCGGCTGTTTTTGCTCCAACTCCAAAGATGCCTGTTAAAACCTGAAACACATGCGGTAGAAATTACACACACTGTTGACAATAGTGTGTACAATAGATAGTACAATATCTGTTTTCTGATTAAATAAGCCCTCCAACATGACTGCAAATCAACTAGAAAATCATTTCATGATCTTAAAGATTCTGTATTGATTCTTTAAAGTATAAAACATAAGAACTAAATAAAGTTTAGTCTACATTTGTCCTGTTTCAAAACAAGGTTAAAGGGATCCATGATTGGTTGTAACATTAGACTTTATTTAATAAACATATTTTTACTGTAAAGACTGTTAAAATACTGTAGGCTGTTTAGTTTTATAATTTTTAAAATAAAAGTTAAAAAATATATTACACAGACGAGGCC